TAACCTATCTAATATGAAATTCAGAAATGAGAAGATCTGCGAAAAAAGCATTCTAGAGAAGAAGAGTAGAACAGCGGGTATAAGGACCTTGATACAGTAATAAGCTTTAGTGTGTCTGAGGGATAGGAAGGCAGGTGTAGCTGGAAGAAAGTAAATGAGAGAAAGTTGGAGAGGTAGGAGTGATCAGATTCAGAATGGCCATATTAAGTAGGGCCACTAATATACTGGTCATATTAGGATGTTGGATTTTATTCTAAGTTTGATAAAAAGCCACTGGAGGGATTGTTTTCTTTTCAAAATAGATAGTAAAGATTTGAGACAGGAAATGGAGAAACCATGCAGGAGGCTATGGAAATCTAGACAAAAGATGATATAGATTTGGATTAGGGTGATAGAGTTAGACTAGGTAAGGAATGATCAAATCAAGGCTATATATAAAAGGTCTACCACTCATCTGTAAGTTTGTCATACTGTGGTGGCTTGTTGCAGTGAGTCTGGAGATTATGCCACCAGTATTTCAAATGCCAGTAGGGTTACCCGTGGTGGACAGGTTTCAATGGAGCTTCCAGACTAAGATGGAAGAAGGAAGGGACCACCCACTTCTCAAAGAACTGGAAAATTTTATGAATAGCTCTGAAATATTGTCCAATATTGTGCTGGAAGATGAGCCCCTCAGGTTTGAAGGCACTCAAAATATGGCTGAAGAAGAGTTACCTCCCCAGAGTAGAGTTGACCTGTGATGGTGAAGTTTGTGTGTCAACTTGGCTGGGCCTGGTTGAATGGCTGGGCAGCTGGATGTAGTATTCCCCGTGATGAGACTGGTAATCAGCTCCATGGTGCAATCTACTGTAAGCAGCTGAGTAGTTGCCGTAGGGATGTTGCCTGCTTCCTGTATATGACGAGAAGCCTTGGGGAATGGTCTCTAGCTTATGGCATGCTTGAACCCAGCATGTAGCTGTGTCATTATTCAGCAGCCTGCCATGCTCTGCCGACCTTGAGACCTTTAATGGACTTCAATTAATGGCCTGCCATATGGTTTTGTAACATCAGAACTGTGCCTTTTTACTTGTCAATCCTGGGCTTGTCAGCCTCAGCAGCCAGCAGCTGTCTGTGTGAAGTAAAGCCTCCAGTTTTGGTGGGCTGGGAGCAGGAGGCAGAGCTGAAGTCCAAGGTTGAGGGGCTTTCACCCAGCCCCTAGAACCTGGCCCTTTAAACTCAGACTTACAGCCTCCAAACTGTAAGAGAATAAACTCCTATTTGTTCTGTGTCTGCCACAGTCCATTCTTTATAATGTATATTAGTTATCTTTGCTGTATAACACATTAGCCTAAAATTTGAAAGCTTAAAATAGCAAACCTTTATTAATTTCCAGCTTCTGTGAGTCAGGAATTAAAAAGTGACTTAACGGGAAGGTTCTGGCTCAGAGTCTCTTATGAGATCAGTCAAGGTGTTATTTCCTGGAACTGCATTTATTTGAAAGCTTGAATGGAGCTAAAGGATTAACTTTCAAGACGGCTCACTTACATGGCTGTTGGTAGGAGGCTTCAGTTCCTTGCTGTGTGGACCTTTCCACAGAGCTGCTCCAGTGTCCTCAGTAAAGCAGCTGGTTTTCTCCAGAGTGAGTGATCAATGAGAGAGAGAACAAGGAGCAACAGTTACTTTTGTGTCATAATCTAAAAGTCACATACTGTCATTCTACCACATTCAACTGTATGGAAGTGAGTCACTAAGTACAGTTCACACTTAAAGAGAGGGGAATTAGGTTCCATCTTTTGAGGGAGTTGTACTAACGTATTTTAAAATATGTCCATATTTTAAGAGAAGAGAGGTGCATTAGAATCCTTGAGAAAGTGCTCCCAAAATTTATATGATAAAGAAGATCTCAGCATTTTAAAAATCACCATGCACTGCTGGGATCTTCTTCATCATATAAATTTTGGGAACAATTTCTCAAGGATTCTAATGCTTTTCTCTTTGTAGGGGATACTTTGAAGAAAAAGGTTAGTGGGGCAAGTTGCAGACCCTATTGTTTCATCTGGTCTTAGGACCACAAAGAATACTCATTATTTTCCTCCTCTATTACCCATTCTAGACCCACCTTAGCCCCAGCTAGCATCTCTGTTGGTTTTGGGCTTATCTAGTAGCAAAATCTAGGCCCTTGAGATCTCTGAAGGGTGTGGTCCGCTGATCAATATCTTTCTCAGGCCAGGGTGGGTTACACCTGTCCATTTACCTTAAAAAATATATATATATTTATTTTTTTCCAGACCTTTAAAAAAATGGTCAAGTGGATTACCTGGGTACCAGACAGATTCCTCCCTACCCCCATTTTATAAGCAATCCTACTTCCTCTTGCAGATCATGGTCAGATACCTCGGCCAAGATAGTACTGAGAAGGTGGCATTTGAGAAAGACCTTAAGAGGGTGAGAAAGGAAGCCATATGGATACCTGGGGAAAGAGTATTCTAGGCAGAAGGAACAGCAAGAGCAAAGGTCCTGAGATGACAGTGTGTCTCATATATTTGATAAACAGTAGGGAGGCCTTTGAATAAGAGTAGCAGGCCAGGAGGACCAGAACATGTAAATCATAATAAGGACTTTGATCTTTAATCCAAGTGAGATAGTTTGGAGGATTTTTAAAGCTTACTTTGGTGGTTATGTTGAAAACAAACTATGGATGTAAGGGCATGGCAGAGAGAGCTTTAAAAAGCATTTTTAAAAATCTGAGAGAGAGAAAATGGTGGCTTAACCTACAGTGGTAAAAGTGGAAGTGGTGAGGAGTGTTAAATTCTGGATATATCCTGAAGATAGAACTGACCAGATTTTCATAGGCATTGTGTGGGGATGAGAATGAGAGGAGTCAAGGATGATAGCAAGATTTTGGCCTGAAGAACTATAATATTGGAGTTATTTACAAGATGGTGAAGATTTTAAGGGGGAGGAACACAGTTTTAGATTATGTTACATTTTGAAGCACCTGTGAATGTTCATGGAGATATCAACGAGACAGATACACAAGTCATGAACTCAAGGGAGACTCCCAGACTAAGAACTTGGAGTTCCCCAAAATGTGTCATACTCTTTCAAGCTTCTTTGTCTTTAGACATCCTGACTACTTTGTCAAGGAATCTCTTTCTCTAGAAAACTTATAACCATACCTATTTTACATGTTACCTGAGGCCTTCCCTGACCTCTGCATAGCCAGAGTTGAATACCCTCCTCTGTGCTGTGAGTCTCTACTTATTTTTGCCAGTCTCTATTCATATATTACTTGCTCTTTCATAATAAGATATTGTTTATTTCATTTAAAGATGTCCTGGTGGTGTAGTGGTTAAGGCATTTGACTGCTAACCAGAAGTTTGGTGGTTCAAACCCACCAGCCACTCCATGGAAGGAAGACTAGGCAATGTACTTACGTAAAGATTTACCACCTTGGAAACGCAAAGGGGGTTGCTATGAGTTGGAATTGACTCAGTGGCCCTGAGTTTGTTTTTTGGGGTTTACTTCATTTAACACAGGTACTTATTAAGGTGGCTATTACATATTCAAGGAGCCATCATGATGAACAAGGTTGTTGTCACTTCTTGGCCACAGCCAGCTACCTGGAGGGAATGAGTAGTTGGACCTGTGGAATCAGAACCATGGTCCCCAGGGACGTCAAGTTCAACTGACATAACATACTACACAAAAACATTGTTCTACATCCTACTTTGGCAAGTAGTGACTGGGGGCTTAAAAGCTTGCAAGCAGCCATCTAGATGCAGTGATGGTTATATCCTCATCCAGAGCAAAGAAGAATGAAGAAAACCAAAGATGCATAGAAACAATTAGTCCAAAGGACTGGCACACCATGCAGTCCTCAGTCTATATAACTATGAGACCAAAAGAACTAGATGGTGCCCAACTACCACTGTCAATCACTTGGAGGGGGATCTATTGCCCATTATGTTTAGAATATGAAAATCTGGAGTTTTTACAATATGGTTAAAATGTCCTACATGATCTATCCCTTGCCTACCTCAGCTCTCATTCCCTTCCACCCTCCCTCTTGCCCTCTAAACATCAGCTATGTTGATGTTTTTCAATTCCCAGAACTATCCAAGCTCTTTATCATCTTATCGAGACAACTTCTTTCAACTTTCATCTATCCTTTTTCAACCTATTTAGCTTAGAGGTCTCCATCTCACCAAACCATTATTTTGTGTCACAAACCACTAGATTTTCCTTTGTAGTACTTGCCACAACTTTTAATAAATAAACTTGCATTTATAAAATTTCTGTTTCCTTCAATAAACTTAAGTTCTAGGGCAGGAAGTACTTTTTCTGCCTTTTTCCCCTAGAGCCTAGCACAGTGCCTGACACATAGTAGATGCTCAGAACATGTTTGTTAAATGAGGGGATGTTTGAGAGAACCCTGATCAGTGATATATCATTAAGAAACTGGTACACATTAACCATATAAAAAAAACAAACCTATTGCCACAGAGTCAATTCTGACTCTGTGACCCCCACTGGCTTTCTAAGACTGTAATTCTTTATGGAAGTAGATTGCCTCATCTTCCTCCTGTGGAGCAAGTGGCAGGTTTGAACGGCCAACATTGAGGTTAGCAGCCAAATGCCTTACCCACTACACCACCAGAGTTCCTGGTACACATTAAAGAAGACTGGGCAATCTACATCTGTAGAGATACTGCCTGGGAAACTCAAGGAGGGCTTGCTATGAGTTGGATTCAACTCGATGGCAGTGAGTTTGGTTTGCTTTCTGGTGCTCTTCAGATGAGCTGTGTACTTGAACTTTATTCCTTTTTTGAAGAAATTTAGATGTCCCCCAAACTGCACTCATTTATAATTCTGAAATATATAAGTGCAACAAGGACAGCAAGCTTTTCCTTCCTATTTATCCCCGTATCCCTAGTACCAAGCACAGTGGCACTTTAGAGAGTATTCCATAGCTATACTACATGTTTACTAACATTAATTCTTTTATTCTCCCTTTTAAGGTTAATCTAAAGCGACCATGTCCTTTCTGGGCAGATGATGGCCATTGTTCAATAAAAGACTGTCATGTGGAACCCTGTCCAGAGGTAAAAATAAATAAATAAAAGTAAGATTAAATAGGGGAAAATGTTGAGTCCTATATGAAAATTGCTTTCTCTTGGACTTTTTAGATAAGCGTGAACTCTATATTTTTGGTTAATGTTGGTGGATTTTGGATTTGTCATCACGTTCATATGCTATCAGCTCTCCTTTATAACCAGATTATTAAAGATTTATTCCATTCTCACCACCAAAAGGGGTTTGAAGTCACTCTTATATCCAGTGGTATTGGTAATTGATGTAGAAATGTAGTGTAATGGAAAATCAGAGACCTATTCCAGGATGGAATATACACTTGGCTAATTCTTTATGCTTTATTGAATATGTATCATGTTCATAGGTAAAGAAAATTATACTGAACTCTAAAGTTCACATGTATTTCAGGCTTGAAATGGGGTATTTACTTGATCTTTTTAAATTAAAAAGAAAAAAAGGCCAAACTTATTACCAAAGAATGCTACATTTTTTTACTTCTAACAACTAATTATATTTTCTTCTTCTATGGTAATTAGTTGTAAGCTATGTTTCATTTTACTTTTTTCCTTTCTTACATAATTAGTCCTAGTGCGAGTGTCCTTAAAAATGGGGAAAGACTATCTGGATTGATACCTTCCCTAAAGGGAAAATGTTGGGGGAAAAAAAATGTATATGTATCTATATAGAAATATATAGATATATATATAAATAATTTTTATTTTCTTTCAAGAATAAATTAGTAAAAATGTGGTTTTTTAAACTTTAATTTTGAAATAATTTCAGACTTACAAAAAAGTTGTGAGAAGAGTACCAAAAATTCCCCTGTTCCCTTGTACTTGGCATCCACATTCTCTAAATGTTAGTTTACCACATTTGCTTTATTATTCTCTCTCTATGTATACTTAATATTATTTCCTGAACTATTTGAGTATAAGTTACAGACATGATTAGCCTTCACCCCTAAATACTTCAGTGTACAATAATTTTAAATATAAGATTATTATTATTATCTTACATAACTACAGTGTAATTAACAACATCAGGAAATTAGTATAATTTCCTGTTTCCAACATGAGTTGGAATCTACCCAGTAGCAACTGGTTCATATCTAATCTATAAACTAAAAAATCTATATCCACTCCCATCAAGTCGATTCTGATGCTTAGCTACCCCATAGGACAGAATAGAACTGCCACATAGGGCTTCCAAGGCTGTGAATCATTACTGAAGCATACTGCCTCATCTTTCTCCCACAGACCTATACAAACATTGTCAGTTCACTTAATAATGTCTTTTATAGCAAAAAAAAAAAAAAAGTTTCTAGTCCACAATACAGTCTAGGATCATACACTGCATTTGGTTGTCACGTTTCTTTGTTATTGCTGTTGTTAGGTGCCATTGAGTCAGTTCCAACTCATAGCAACACTGTGTACAAAAGAATGCAATACTGCCCAGTCCTACACTATTCCCATAATCATTGCTATTCCTGAGCCCATTGTTGCAGCCACTGTGTCAAACATTTTGAGTGCCTTCCAACCTGAGGGTCTCATCTTCCAGCAATATATCAGAGAATATGTCCCTGCTATTCATAAAGTTTTTAGTGGACAATGTATTTCAGAACTGGACATGGTCACACTCTTCATAATCTGTCTTAGTCTGGAAGTTCTGCTGAAACTTGTCCCCCATGGGTGACCCTGCTGGTATTTGAAATAACAATAGTGTAGCTTCCAACATCACAACAACATGCAAGCCACCACAGTATGATAAACTGACGTATCTTTATTAAAAGGTGTGTCTTTCGATATGGAAAAAGTTCCTCACTATTTCTTTGTCTTTTATTGTCTTGGCATCATATTTTTTAATGAATATTGGCCATTTATTTTGTAAGTTATCCATGCTTCAGGGTTTTTCTGATGTTTTCTAATATTTAAATTCAAGTTATCAGTTCATCAGCATTTTTGACAGGCATGCCATTGAAGTGATGTGTATTTCTCAATGTGTTATATCTCAGGAGGCACATGGTGTCATCATTATTAGTGATGTTAATTTTGATTATTTAAAGTGCTTTCTGCCCAATTTTTTCACTATAAAGTGGGAAAATTCTCTGATAATGTGGAAATATCCTGTTTTTATCATGCTTTTACCAGCTGGTTTTAGCATCCATTAATGAATGATTCTTGCCTAATCAGTTATTGATATGATAGTTGCAAATCAGATAGTCCCCGGCTTATAACAGTGTTCCATTCTGATAACCCTTGTCAGTTCTGATGTACGTTGAATATTTTTTTAAAAAGTTTTCATTATTATTGCCTTTTTATTATCAGTACTTTTATAAATATGATCTTTATTTGTTGGTGTCAGTGCCATAAAACTGAAGTCAGACTTGTGATGGCTGTTGGGCATGTGTGTAGTTCAACTGCTGTATGTTGTTAGAATTGAACATTATTTTCTGTCCATTATGACTCCTTGTATGTATACCAATATAGTCTTCATGGTAGACCAGGCCATAGCCTGCTATATGGCAGTGTTTTAGTCAGTTAATCATAACACTGAATATCTGTCAGTGAATATCTGAGAATGATAACATCAACAAATTATGTGCTACAATACTGCATGTTATACGTGTTACTTATGATAGGATATATATTTTAAAAAAATAAAGCCAGTGGTAAGTGCAGTTTGTCATAACTTGAATATGTCATAAGTCAGGTGATTTGCTAGTTCTATTTCTTCTACATTTATTAGATGGCATTCTACTATTGGTGAGAGCTTTTTCTTGTGTTTCTTTTATTTATTTAATTATATGTTTATGTCAGTATGAACTCGAATTCTTATTTAATGATTTATTATGTTACTATCATTTTTAATAAAAGCGTTATTGAGAGATAATTTATATAAAAGTTATCCTTTCTATATAATTCATTATTTTTTAATATATTCACAGAGTTGTGCAACGATCACCACTAATTTTAGAACATATAGAATATTTTAGAACATTTTCATCACCTTCCCCCTCAAAATTGACTTGATAGCAGTGAGGTTTTTTTTTTCTTTTCCCCCCCCAAAAAAAAAAAACAAAAAACCTATGGCTTACCCATTAGCAGTCACCCCTGCCCCTGCAAATGATGACTCTGCTGTATGGATTTGTCTATTATTGACATTTTATTAAATGAAATATTTGGTCTTTTGTGACTGGCTTCTTTCACTTAGCATGTTTTCAGGGTCCATCCACATTATAGTGTGTATCAGTACTTCATTCCTATTTATTTCTGAAAAACACTCCTTTGTGTGGATATACTACATTTGTTTATTCATTCATCAGTTGATGGATATTTGGATTGTTTCCACTTTTGGGCTGTTATGATTAATGTTTCTGTGAACATTCAAGTAAAATTTTCTGTGTATTTATATTTTCAATTCCAAGGTGAAATTGCTAATTCTGTGTTTAGCTGTTTGAGGAACTGCCAGACTGTCTTCTAATGGCTGCACCATTTACATGTGCATGCATGAAATGTATGAGGATCCTAATTTCTATACATCTTTGCCAAAGCTTATCTGATTTTCATTTTAGCTATTTTAGTGAGTGGTGTATCATTTGGGTTTTGATTTACATTTCTCTCATGGCCAGTAATGTTGAGCATCTTTTCAAGTGATTATTGCCATTTGTGTATCTTCTTTGGAGAAATGTCTATTTATATACTTTGCTCATTTTTAAAATTGAGTTGTCTTTTTATTGTTGAGCTGTAAGAGTTCATTATTTGCCTTTGATGCACAGTATACATTTCTGAATTGTTTAATTTTTGTGTTAAAATAATCATTTACTATCGACAGTGAATTATCCTTTAGTCTCAATTTTCTAATAAGAATTAAGAAAAAATTTTATTTGTTGGACTTTTTTAATGGTATACAAAAAGTGTAAAGGTTAATATGAGCCCCCAAATAACTCTGCATCCAACAAAAATACTTTATATACATTTAAAAACTCATATTTATCCCCTTCTCAATTCCATTCCCTTACTTACTCTTTCTCCTCAGAGATTCAAACTAACCCTTTATGTTTCAACTTCTAATAATATAGAGTTAGAATTTGAACTGTATAATTTGAAGTCTAATTTTAATTATCTATAATTACAAACTATTTAATATTATAATTTACAACAAACTACTTAATATTATTTTTGTTAGCGACAATAACCAAGTATATTCCATACTTCATTTTAGTTATTAGTTTTACATTTCTCCTCAACTTCAGGGGATATAAAGATTCTAAAGGGTGCAGGTTCAAGAACAAGAGAATCTCTTTTGTCTTATTCTCTGGCTTTATAATTTAAGGGCCCTTCATGATACATTAAAGAGCTCTGGTTGTACCATGATTACCATTGGAATACTAACTAAAATGTAAGTGGTTTGAACCCACCAGCCACTCCACAGGAGAAAGATGAGGCAGTCTGGTTCCATAAAGAATTACAGTCTTGGAGACTATGGCGGCTTCTTTTTTCTATAGGGTCAGTATGAGTAAGCATTGACCTGATGGCTGTGGGTTTGGGTTTTTTGTTTTTCATGACTTAATATAGATTAGAACTATCATTTTATCATTACTTTTATTAAATTCTCTTTTTGTGATGTTTTATGTATATTCATGATGCTCATGTGTGGTGCTTCCCAGTATTTCTAAATGGTCTGTATCTAGGATTTTCTTAAGTCAAAATACTGCATTTAATAAGGATTTTCATTTTAGCACAATTATACTGTATTACATTATTATTACAGTAGTTAGAAGGTACTTTTGGTTAGTGTTTAGTCCATATTATCAGTTCAGGGTCTTATAACTACCACTTTCTAGATTTGACATATGTTTTATAATTTTTTCTCTCCTGTCCTGTAAGAGGTAGAAAACATTGAAATGATAAAATTTTGGCAGCAAGTAATATTTTTCTCTATGTGATCTTTTTACTTACTGGGTGAAAATCCCTATCATCATCAATATGATTTATATTTTATAGCCTGACAG